CTGCGCTTGCCCGGAGAATTTTTTGTCAACAACAACGACAACACGGTAGACGCATCCGATTTCGTCTCCGATCTCCGGAGCAGGATGCGACGACTACGTCCCGTCTCACCGCGCAAACACGGCAACCACCAGACGTTTGTGTTCCGTGACCTACAGACCTGTTCCCACGTCTTCGTGCGCCACGACGCCATACGTAAACCTCTACAGCCCCCATACGATGGCCCGTTCCAAGTCCTCCAGCGCTCCGACAAGACGTTCAGGGTTAACATCAACGGCAAGGAGGTGACGGTTACTATCGACCGCCTCAAACCAGCCTTTGTCGCCGACCCTACAACTTCCGCCCCAACCAGCACGGAAGAGAGACCCCCACCACCAACGGACCTCGACGAGACCCAACCACCGGTCACAACCCGCTCTGGACGACGGGTACGCTTCAACCTAAAGTATCGTTGACACTCGCGGGGGAGTACTGAGGCGCTAGCACCTACAGTCGCCACCAGAGGGCCTCCCGTCGATGACGTGAGCGTTACGTCAGACGACCGCGCTTATTCGACCTGCCACGACACAGTTCAGGTGTGTTCGACAAGAGCTCCGCTACTTACGACTAAACAAAGGATTGTAGTGCCAATCGACCATCGTCCACGTTGGTGCCTACATATATAACGCGGTTTTTGAAAAAAAAAACATTACAACAGATCATGCCAAATATAGTTATATATGTTGTTGCAAAGAAAGTGAAGTAACTTTTTTTGGATGTTTTGTATATGCATTACAAACCTAAATGAATGAATAAAAAAAACGTGAAATTGAAAATAGATATATACTTTACCTTTTCGTACAATTAAATCAATCCCAAATAAAGATGATATAGACAGAGAAAATAGCAAGAAAACTATCAGCAGTCTTATGCAGTTTTTGATTCTTTGTTTATGATATAATGTAAAATGTATAAATTTAAACACTATTTATGTACTGTATGTTTATACTTTAGCAGAGAATATTATAAAGAATTTTATTAATGCCACACTCGTAAAGAATTCATCTCTATCCTATCAGAATTCCCTACTACTCGCTTGAATCTATTTCAGGTGTATTTAAATACTAAGATAATGTTTCATATTTTACATATTTCTATATGTCTGAATAATATAAGTTTTATTCTGTAAATAATATTTCAAATTTTCCAATAATATAATACAACCGAAACACAAATGGAATGTTTTATTCTACTACAATAAACAATATAATAAAAATATAAATTATGATTCTGAGATACTATCATTCTTCGAATAACTATGGAGATATTACAAATGCTTAATTTTTAATATATAATTAAACGTATGACATCCATACTCACGAATAAAGTAGTGAATGACAAATTTAAAATACCATCGAGTGTTCAAATTATAAGCGGACTTTAAAACGTGTCACATATCAACAAAAAAATGATGATTTTTTTGTTTAACTTTATTGTTAAAAAATTCTTCAATTAAGATCATACCAAATAATTCCTGGTTGTGCTGCACACTATATACTTATATATATATATATATATATATATATAGTGTGTGCAAAATAAAAAAAATTTCGGACAATACAATAGCCACAGTTATTTTTTTCAAAAATGGGAAATTTTCATTAGGAATCAACAAAAATTCAACCCGGGGCAACACACAACAGAGAGAAATTTTGACATTAGATAGGTTAATTTCACCAAAAATGTATTGTGGACGATCTCATGGCCAGCAAAGTTTGAACAATTGCACTCAAAACCAGTGATACCAAAGAAGATTGGAGAAAGAACGAGACATGCTATGAGCGTCGAAGTGATCTCACTTAGTAATGAGTCTCTGAGACAGTCTTGTCCCAAATACAGCCTTGCCGTTTTACTTGTTATGTATAAATTTATTATTTAAAACAGGGGTGTCCAGCCCGCGGGCCGCATGCGGCCCAAGGCAAGTTCCAATGCGGCCCAATAAACGTGTAAACAAAACCAAAAAATTTTATTTATTTATTTCAACGGCATTGAATGAGGAAGTGATGGCAGTCACAATTCCACCAATTAGCTAGGTGTGAGTAATCCATTCCAGAGCATGGGAAGACACTGTATGTAACATTATTAGTGAGTAGGCACTCTTAGCTCTTCACTGCATGGTTCCTGCCTTGGTCAGCCATAATGAAGCATTCAAGTTGACTGCAGATTATGCTAACATATCCCAAAAGTGAGGAATATAAAAGTACTGAATATTCTGGCCAGAAAGACTTTCTGCATAAGATCTTTCACAAAATGACAAGAAAACCATGATGGCAGAGGAGACACTTGAGGATACACTTCCCTTTTTCTGATCTCCAAGAATTTTCATTGATGTGTTGTGTATTGTTTTTGCATTTGTGTACATTGTGACAGTTATAAATGATTATTCCCTGGTAGGCACCTCCAAAAACAAGTGCAATGTGCTGATGATAGAATCAAAACTATAGTGCATCAGCTATTTAAAGAGAGAAAATGAACTATTCAGTAAAACTGCATTTGTCATAACCTATAAAAACAACTGCTGTACCTTTAAATGCAGAACAAATTTTACTTTTTCTAACATTTTGAAGCATTTTAAATGCTCTTCCTCAGCATAAAAATCAATTGCAATTTAAAAATAAGAATGAAAGCTGTGCTCTGGAACAATTTGCATTTTGACAAATGCAGTTAAATGGTTGGGATTCTAAAGCATTCGTTTCAAATACAAATTGTTCCAGAGAACAGCTTTCATTCTTATTTTTATATTGAAATTTGTTTTTATTCTGAGGAGGGATGTTTAAAACAACTGAAAATGTTAGAAAAAGTAAAATTTGCACTGCATTTAAAGGTATGAATGGTTGTTCATGTAGAGAAAATGAAGCTATAAAGTAGGAAAGGCAACAATATCAGACATAAAAGCAAACCAACTAACCATCTTAGAATGTTCTGCGCAACTTTATTCTGATAATTAATATAAGTAGAGAAAAACAGTGAAAGATGCAAGTGACATTACATTTGACTGCATGCTTCATTTGTGATTCCTTTAAAGAAGGAGCAAATGGGGAGTCATTATCAAGTCCAAATGTGAAATCACTGGCTTCATAATGCAAATCTGTAATGTCTAGTATAAAATTAGCAGAGTGAATCATTACATTTGTTTGCACAAATGCTAGTGGTACTCCTGCATTGCTATCACTGGTGATTGGAAATTCTAAAAAACTTCTGTTTCAAAGATCCCTGCATGCTTACCATTCACAGAGAATAAAAATGTGTAATGGACTCAGATCTTTTTTGTAAATACTATACTAAAGAATTTAAAATTAATTCACAGTTGTCATACAAAGATAACAAACACATTCAAATCTTGAAAATGCAGGAAAAATTTAATAACTAAAACATTTTTGGACATTTTTAACAACATTCTTCAAGTAGTTTGTCACAATGGCAGTTTGGACAATAATAATCTAGAATAATAGTTCAAATTTTTACCATCTGAAAGTTAAAATATCGTAGATCGAACATCTTTAGTTGTTAAATAATCTTGAAAATGCAGCAAAAATTTGAGTGTTTTGTTACTAAAGAATTTATACCAAGCATTAAAAGGCATCGTGAATACAAAGGAAAACAGGACAAAAATGTTGCTGCTGCTCAATTGTACATCATGTTATCCATCAACTAATATCAGACATACTAATTGGTGACGGCTTTGAGTTGATGTATTTTTCACCAAATATCATAATAAAATTAGTTAATCAATGAATCAAGTCATCATTGAGAAATTGAAGAGAATGTTCAAGAAAAAAATTCTGACATTTACTTTTTGGTAGAAGGAAAACAGCAGTCCTTCAAATGTTGCTTTTTAGAAAAACTAACATCTGAAGGACTGTTACATGTTAGCTGAAGCTTGGAAATCATTGACAACAATTGTATGATAGACTCAGACGAAGTACTCAGAATCAAATCAGTGAATTTATGAACTTGTTTCAATTGATCTCTGGATAATGATGATGCATTTGAATGGCTAGTTAGTGATGCAAATATTAATGGTGATTTTCATGTTTCAATCTCATCAGTTAGGACATGTATCAGTGAAACTAGAGACCATGTCAAAAATGATAAGCAAGAACAAACAAAATGGGTCTGATGAATGTTGAGGCATTTTTTCATTAGACAGTAATGACATGGTATGAGCAGTAATCTGTTTTCTCCCACTCAACTGCTGCTGCTCAAATCGATCAGGAATCCAGCAGCAAAGAAACAGATTCTATCTTTTACAAAGGAAAATAAGTAGTAATATCTTACAATAAAGGTAAATTATTGCTCTGTAACATTCATTTTCAATTTTTATTTTATATCCTGATGTTATGCATTCACGTGAATTTTTTTCTAGCATATACAATTCAGTGTTTTGTTATCCAATTTTAATTTATTTGAACCATGTCTAGTTCTAATTAGTTTGGATAATTGGAGTTCTACTATATCTAAAACAAAATATTTTGATTCAATTTTGCTTAATAGAGAATTAGTTCTTGAATGCATTCATGATTAAATATTAAAATTTCTTTTTTGAATTTAATTTTAGGTGGAATTAGCATGTGAACTCAAGAAACCATTATTTATTCATGAACGAGATGCTCATACTACATTAATAGAAATATTAGAACAATTTTTGGATAAATTACCCTTTACTGTGATTCATTGTTTCACAGGATCAAGACAAGAATTACAGAAATATATTTCCATGGGATTTTATGTGGGTTTAACAGGTTAGTATCAAATTAATTTTTACTTTAATGTATCTAATAAATTTATCTAAACATTTTTAATATAATTACAATATACAAAATTTAATTTGCATGTGTTTGTATTCTACTGTGATCAAAAAGTATCAGAAATGATTCATTTAAACTGCATACATATACATGAGGGCACTGTCATTATTTTCTTCATTTGGTATGACTTTCATTGATTTCTAGCAGCAATCTATGCATCATCTGTTTTTATTTGCAAATACAGTGGAACCCTGGTTAATGACCAAATCAGTTAATGAATTTTTATTTTGCAAAAATTTTGTCTCATAATGGACGAAATTCGGATAATGAACATAACAGTTTTTTGTGTCAAATTTTAGTTGCTGTTAGACATGCGCAAGTTAAGCATGGCTTTTCCGAGTGTTTGTGCTAAGCTTCTTTTTTCAGTTTTGCAATTTATATATTTAATCAATATGGCATCCAAGAAAGAGAAAAGTGATAGTGGCAATAGAAAACAACAATGCACTATCATATTTGAGAAAAATTTTGATTAAAAGAGTAAGACAATCAACTTTAGATCAATTTCTTGTTCCTTACCAAGAGAGACCTTTATTCAAAGAATCTCCCAATGAAGTGCTACCCATTATTTTTTTGGAGGGGAATTTCCCTTCTAAGCATTAAGCTCCGTATACCTCCACTCCTCTGCCATTAACTTCAACAAATGAAAATATGTACAGTACAGTGCTATTTTATTAAATAAAGTGTATGGTACATGTTTGCTGCTGTAATGATAGATACTATATTTTCCTACATTTTCATCAAAGAAAACCTACTGTATTTTACAAATAAAATCACAAAAATTTCTGAGGCTAGAACAGATAAAATTTATTTGCATTAATTTCTATGGGAAAAATTGGTTTGGTTAACAAACAGAGTCACAGAACGGATTGAGTTCGTTAACTGGGATTCCACTGTAAATGCTTGTTTTATGTGTAAAGGATTTTTGTGTTGGCAATTTTTTTTTTCAAAATGTCTAGTGTAATTGAGCAAAGAATATGCATTAAATTTTGTTTTCACAAAAAATTAGAAAATTTTGGAAATGTTGCAAAAAACCTTTGACGATAGTGTATCAAAAATAAGAGTTTTGAAATTGTACAAGATGTTCAAAGAAGGCACAGAATGTGTTAAAGATGAGCCATATTCTGGTAGATCACCCATTCCAACTGATGAACAATGTGTCTCTCGAGTCAGATTTGGTTCTCAGTGATCATTGTTTAATGATTAGGGATATTATTGAACATGTTCTAGTATTGTTTAAATCTTGTCAAGCAATTTTAAAAGATCATTTGGGCTTGTGGTGCATCACTTCTTGAGTTGTCTTGAAAATATTGAACTTTTTTCCCGAAACAATATGTTCAAGTGGCTGAGGAAATGCTTTCTTGAGATGAATTATCCTTAAAATGCATCATTATGATTGATGAAATGTCACCATTAGATGAATAAAATGTTTTCTTTTGTATAATGTAATGTATATACATTCCGGACTGTTTTCCCCTCTTCAGTCCATATTGTACAATTGCAACTAAAAGTTTAGTTGTTTTATCCAATTTAAGATCTTAAGACTTGCTAAAAACATAACTTTTAAGTTTTACTTCCCTTTTACCCTGTTGTTTTAAATACAAGGGCTATTTTCAAAGTAAAGTCTGTTTTACAATAAAAAATGAACTACTAAACATTACAAGTAATTTATTTTTTTCTTGTATTCTGCATATTTTTGACAACTTTTCCATATAGTTTCCATTCTTGATGAAACATTTGTCATAGTGTGAGACCAGTTTCTGTAGATCCATATCATAGAAGTGTGCCACCTGAGAGGATTACCATTCCTGGATCGAGAGCACAATTTCCTACAGTCCAAGTTTTCTGACACAATTTTGTAAAGAACTGACCATGAAATTTGTGAGAAATTAACTGATAGGGTGGAAGTGGTGAATTGTCTGTTTCCATGAATCATGGTGTCTTCTGCACAGACAAGATCATCAATGATTACAGACGACTGACCCAAGCACATTCTCCCAACCTTCCTTAAACGTTCTTGCCCACTTACAAAATTTGCTATTACTCATGGCATTTGAATCATAAACTTCACAGATCTGGCAATGAATCTCTGCTGATTTCACATTTCTTGTTGCCAGAAAGTGAATAACTGACCTTATTTCACAGGTTCGATCATCTTAAACATTTTCATCACACATTGTATAAAGCACACACTGCCAACATTAATTAAAATATTTGTGTGCAAGAGAAGTTAGGAGACATTTTTAAATGTGCATGTTTGTAACTTTGCACATGTGCAAAGATATTACCAAACAGACCTTACTTTTAAAATATCCCTCATACTTACTTACATGTGACTGATGGAATAATGATCATTTCAGCTTTAACAATTGTACAATATGGACTGAAGAGGAGCAAACAGCCTGAAATGCACATTCATTTCATTGTACAAAATAGTCTGTTTTATTCATCAAATAGTGTTCCTGTGTGATAAGTTCTACTTAGCAACTTTCTTTTGTTCTTTGGGAGTAAGCACAAAGAACAAAGCAATCAAGTATTAAATGCTCTTGTTGTGTTTGTGAATTTTGGCTGAAAATTCAGCAAATACAGTTCTGCAGGCTCCATATTCACCTAATATTGCACCATGTGACTTTTTCCTGTTTCTTCAACTAAAATTTCTCCTTCATGGTCACTGCTTGAGTCGAGTGGTGTCATAAAACAAAATTTCATGAAAACGACTTTAAAGTAAGTTTTGAGGATTGGAAAAATCATTGGTGTAAATGTATTGCAGTGGGAGAGAATTGCTTTGATGAATAAATTCAAATCTTGCATTTTATTGAACCATTCCCAATACTTTTGATCACAGGGATAAATAAAAAAATAAAGTCCTAATATACTTTCAATGTATAAATGTAAAATAGCTTAGCTTAACTTTAACCAAAATATTTTAATTAATAAGAGTACTTTAGAAGAAGAATTATTTTACAAAACAATGATTGATAATGGTTGACAGAATACCTTTAACCAATCATAAAGTAATTTAAGTTTTCCAGAAAATACATAGAATTAATTTTTTTCCACACATGTTAGTAGAATGAATATTCATTTTAAAGTTTCTTCTTTTAAAATATTATGATCAAATTGTTTAAATTATTGTAAATTTATTAAGGAATATTATATATTTATTTTGGTTTTTTCAAATGCTATATTATTTTAGAAGAAAATATTTATTATCTATTTATTCTATAGAAAGTTAAATCTTTTTATTAGGTTATCTTTGGAAAGATAAATCAGAAGATGGTATTCGTAAAAGCTTAGAAGATGGTCTAATCCCTTTAGATCGTCTCTTATTAGAAAGTGATTCACCTTTTATGTATCCTAATACACGTGCTTCCAAACTTCCTAGCCATGTTAAAAGTGCCTTAACAGAACGCTCTGTGAGTTTTTTGCATCGCTACTGCACATTTCAGAGAAATGAACCTTGCTCTCTTCTGGTGACAGTTGAAATGATAGCTGCATATCTTAAGATCAAGCCTGCTGATGTTGCCTTGAAAACAACTTATAGTGCCTTAAAAGTATTTGGACTAAGTTGAAATATTATTATAATGTCTTAGACATTTCAATAAGAAAATTAATATTGCCAATTGTAAAAATTATAGTGCTATATTTTATTGATAAATTTTATATATTTAGACTAATATAAACAATTATTTTGTGCTTTGCTATATCTTATCCTTTTTCATACAATATTAGTCTTATTTTTTCATCATAAATATTTATAATAAATTAAAATTTTTATAATGGAGATAAAATATTTTGGCAGCTATATAAAAACTTTATTTTTAATATATAATTTTTTATTGTTCATAAAAGTATCAATTTTTTTATTATTAGCTTTAACTATTATACATTATTGTTAACTATTGCACATAACTTCTGTAATTAACAATTCAAATACAATAAAGTCACAAAATAAATTTGCATCAAATTATAATGTGTGCTAAGAATATATTGGCCAATTAAATTTATTTTTTTTAAACCGTCCAATTTAATAGTATTCCATATAATCTAAAAAAAAAAAAATATTGAATAACTATTTAATTATGTAATAGGAAATTTATTTCTATTTACTATGCATTTTTCTTCTTATATATCATGAAATATTCCAAATAGATTAACTTTCTTCTCAGAACAAATGGATTGTTTTATACTTTGAAATGATAATTTAGTCCACAAATACCGATAATTTCATAAATATTAAAGGTAGTCATGACTAGCATTAAGGGCCTTACTTGTAAATTTTATAATTATTATTAATGATGAATAAAACAAAAAATGAGATTATATGTGGTATTTGCAATTTTTTAATTCAAATCACTTTGCCCCTATTGTTAAATAAATTTTCTTCAGTGGTTTATTATTATTATTACAGTAGAGCATCGATTATCCGACCCCCGATTAACCGTCACCTCGGTTAACCGACCGTCCTAGTCGGCAAATTTCAAATGTCCGCTAGTGATGTGGCGCTACAATATTTGGCTATGTCTTGGCTACTTTAATATTATTTTTACGTGTTTTAGCTGGCAACACTCATTCGACCATGAAAGGGAGCCAGTATTTAAACGAAGCTTAATTTTCTAAT